GGAAAGGGTGCGGGACATTTGGTGTGCTGCGCATACCCCTTCATGCACTTCTGCTATGACTCGCTCAGCTTCCCGGTTGGTGAGGCACCTCAGGAGTGGTCCTCCGAATGCCCTTTTGTACAGCTTCCCATCCAGGACCTGGAACCGTGGTGCCCTGAGCTTCACTTTTCTTGCCCGGTCATCTTGTTCCGGCAAGGTCTCGTTCATCAGATACTCCATCAGATCATACATCCAGTGATCATTCGCCCCGACCAAGTTTGACCGGTCAGATTGGGCTTCCCCTGTTATGACAGCTACTTCGAGTTTCTCGATGCTGGCACGGTCCAAGATTTCCACCCGGGCAAGTTTTGAAACATGCTCGGGGGCATACTGCGTTAGTTTGGAGAGAAGGTCTGCATCTGCATTTTCTGCCCGGGGGATTTGGGCGATTTTGAATTCCTCGAAGCTTATCAACAAGGCGAGCACCAGGTCCTTGTATTGCGCCATTCGTCCTTCTCTAGCCTCCATATTACCGGTCACTTGCCCAACAATCAGACTAGAGTCAGATTTGATACTGACCCGGTTGATTTTGAGGGCTTGAGCAAGTCTGAGCCCTCCAGCAAGAGCTTCGTATTCTGCTTCATTGTTCGTCAACTTGAAGTTGAAGACGATTGCATGGTAAATTTTGAATCCTTCCGGAGTGGTAAAGACTATACCACCCCCATAACCTTTAGGACCGGACGCTCCGTCTACTTCCATCTCCCACCACTGCTCGGTAGGCTTGTTGACCGGTGCATCTGGAGTTACATCGGTCATTTCCACAAGGAAGTCCGCAAGGGCTTGCCCTTTGATTGCTGATCTCGGCCGGTACTCAATGTTGAATTGAGTTAACATCATCGCCCATTTCACCATCCTCCTGGAGGATGTTGAATTTCGCAAGACTGCACCCAGCGGTTGGTCAGTCAAGACTTCCACCGGGTAGGCTTGGAAGTAGGATGTTAACTTTTTTGCGGAGATGAAAAGCGCGTAGGCTGTTTTTTCCATCGCCGTGTATCTACTTTCTGCTCTGTTTAGTACTTTGCTCACATAATAAATGGGCTTTTGTGCCCCATCATCCCTTATTAAAACAGAGCTTACAGCATTTGGGGAAATTCCCAGGTACAGATACAGAGTTTCACCCGGCTGGGGTTTAGATAGTACAATATCTGACACTAGGTACTCTTTCAGTTCCTCGAACGCCCTCTGGCACTCACCGTCCCATGCAAAAGTGTTGGC